TCTGATCCTGGTAGAGTAGACTACAATGCCGGCTGTTCTGACTCACAGCCTGTAAGTACGTTTTCATTTAAAGGATTTGCCACTGATGATTCAAACGCGAGTTTTGAGCAGTGTAGAATAGCACTTATTTGTCATTTCTCCGATCACAAATGCAGACATGGTTTTATGTTTACGCGGCGCGATGCAACGCAACACGTAAAAAGACAGTATAAGTCATTATAATCCGTAATTTTGTCCCCACTGGATGCAACAAATGCCTTGTTTATAATGGGTTTTAATGTTTTTGAATCGTCGCTCCGGGATACGGCCTGACAATATGGTAAGGGGCGTAACATTTCCGTCACATGCTTGAGGTATTCGGCCAATCACAACTCACTGGATATCTGGCCAATCAGAGCACACCTCGCTTTTCAGACCGATGAGCTTTGTAAAAATCGACGCCTTTCGCGGGGCATAGAGGAGAAACAATAATGTATGTGAATGTAATAAATACAGTATGTGGAAAATGGAAAAGTATGTGGAAAAACCGCATAAACATTTCATTACACCAAATACACAAAATAATGTTATTTTTAGCAACATCATATGACCCCTTTAAAAATGGAATAAGATAACACCCTTCAAGGTCTAGAGACACGTTTTTAAAATGCTAAATTATTATTTTAACTTTAGTGCCACGTTTTTAAAATGCAGCGTCATGTGCGAGAAGCAGGAAGCCCGGGAGCGCAACGGTCAAACTTTAACGGTCCGTCTAGCCCATGTTTACATTCAAAAATGGAACAATCAGCTCAGCTCACATGTAGCATGTAGTTCTTTGGTATATATTTAATGTTATGAGTTCCTCATCTTTATCAGTCCTCCTAATCTCAGTAGAAATCACAGGTACCAGAAGGTCACTGCAGTGACTTCTTGATCATGGCCTGAGTCCAATGGGTATTCAGTGCCAGAAAAGACCTATAATCCTTCTGGTAGACCTTGAGCTTGTGTGGCTTTTGGCCTACTTCCTGCCAACACAACTGACATGATTTATCTGGGATTAAGACAAAGGTTTAAGGTTATTATTTGTGAATGGAATGGAGTGAGGATAAGGGATTGTTGGATAAGAATTAACCTGTGTAATAAATGGACTGATAATAAACTATCCCATGGATCATAAAATACAGTAATCCAACATCATACCTAATGGCACAGAAGGAAAGATCTGTAAATTCCCATTTTCTTCTGCCTCATTTCCCTTCATTTGATCCTAAACTCACTTATCTAAACTGGTGTTATCCCACCAGAATAATGTAACATTTAATATAATCAGCCAAGAATTAAATTCTAGACATAAAATTTGCAAAATACACAATCCAGTTAAATGAAACATACTCAATACAATGCTGACACACAAACAGATAATTTTACAGATTGAAATGGTTTATTAGTAAGGAAATATCAGCTCATAACAAATGTGGTACAGAATTTTTTCCCCCGATTAAGTTTATTGAGAAAAACAAAACCATGGAGCCAAAAAAATTCTCAAAACGTTTTTGTTGCTTCCAAATGCTAAACACAGTAAATATAAAAAATAGATGGTCTGAGAAGCAAATGAGCATCACCTCACTTGCTTGAATCGGTCAAACAAAAGAAATAGTAACAAGGTCTAATGAGCAGAAGCACTGAAGCATGGTCGATTATACGCAGGTGAGTGTAACTAAACTGGCACTGATTAAAGTTTATTAACTTCATGGGTGTTGTGCGTCTGCTAGCTCATCCATCTATTGGTTACTTAGTGTATCAAAAATATAAAAAAGGCCATCTTTAAAGATTGGTAATTCTATGTCATTGCTAATGATACAAAAAGGAAAGCCATGTGTTTGCATGTTTTGTAAAATAAGGCTTTGTATAAGCGTGGAGCTTCAAATGAAGAGAGCTAATAAACAAAATAAAATAAAAAACCTATAAAGCAAACC